TAGCGAACTACTTTGTCGTATCCATCTCGACCTCATAGGCCGTCCAGGTGGTCGGTCCAACTCAAGTGGTTCCCGGGCCGCACAACGGCCAGCCGTCCGTCGAGCTGGGTCGCAGGCTTCGCTTGCAAGCGTCTCGCCCCAGAAATAAAAGTACTACCCATCTTCAGCTGCTATTTTTATGATGTCATCGATGACACGCCTGTATCCTAGAGTCGTCTTGCTGCATAGTACGTTAACGTACTAGAAACAAGGGAATTGAAGGCGCTAGGTGGAAGACTACTTGCGCTGCAGGCGATGCTACCGTCGCTGGTCGTCTTGGGCGCCGCCGACGTGTCCTTGCGGAGCTTGAGCGAGCACTTGCCGTAGCCGGACGTGGCCTCGCGCACGTACGTGACGCCGTTGCAGCCGTCGCCGAGGTTGTCGCACGAGTCCAAGCACCGGTTGAAGCGCGTTTGGAACGAGTTGACTTCGTCGTTGGCGTAGTCGGCGTTGGCCGTGCAGACGTACTTGTCGGCGTTGTACTTGACGGCACTCGTAAAGCCAGGCGTCATCTCGTACGTGTACACCGTCGACGCGACGTGGCAGACCTTCTTGGTCGAGTCCCAGACCGCGAAGAAGCGCGTCATGCCGTCGGTCGCAGGCTTGGTGCCCGACTGGACGCAGTCGGCGAAGCTCTTGTCGTCCGTCGTCGCCAAGTCGTTGTCCAGAAGCGTCCACTTGAGACCCGGAAGCTCGAGCCAGCCTGCGGGCAGCGCACCACTGGTGTCGTCCTTCTTGCCGTCATTCTCGCTGGGCACGCACTGCGAGTAGTAGTCGTTCCAGACCTTGCACTCGTTGCCGGGCGTGCATTGGGTGTCGCCATCGTAGTCCTTCCCGCCGCATCGGCCCCAGACGCCGACTTGGCCGTTGCCGCCGGGCTGGCACTGCGAGAACCACTCGTTGATGACCTTGCAGTAGCTGCCGGTGGCGCATGTCGTGTCGCTGTTGTGGTTTTTGCCGCCGCACTGGCCCCAGACGCTCACGTGGGCGTTCGAGGCGCTCCGGACGTGGAGGGCCGACGCCGACGCGGCGAGCAAAGCGACGGTACTAGCGATCTTCATGCTCTGTGCGCGAGAAAGCAAATTGCAATGTGAAGGGCCATCTGGCGCCACGTCAGGTGCTATCAGCTGCCGACCACACACAGACCGTGACACATCCTGCACTGCTGCTCATGTGCCTGTCCTGACGTCCAGGTGTGCTTGAAGTGCGGCCGCGCTTGTGATTGGCCCATTTTACGATCGCCAGCGCACGATCGGGCACATGACAGCTGATATCATCACTTGGTCGCCGCGATTCAGCTTCACCGCAGCGTCTTGAAGCCGAGCTCTACGTACTCTATGTCGATGTGCCGATGAATCCGTCCTCAAGTATCCAACTTCGCACGTAGCGTCCGGACAGGATCCATCAATCGCGATGGGAATGTGCGCTTCCCGTATTCGTGGGTCCCCCACAAACGACGTGGCGGCACGGGAGACGAGCGATGGGAGACTCAGTTGCTGGCCAGTACTATCCGGATAGGACACAAGCCATGGCGTCGGTCAACTCGTAGGCATGCATGTATAATAGCAGAGCCATTCGTGTACTCGGATGCTGCTCTGGGATGCTGCGGCGTGTGCGAAGACGACGAACCAGCACTGCCGACTGTTGCTTCGCAGACGTTGATAGGCGCTGGCGGCGCCTTCAGCCAAAAAATGTTCCCTAGAACATGGGTTGGGTTCAGCAAAAAGATTCCAGTAATCGTTCCAGCCGACGCGTCTTCAAAGCTCCGGCCGCTGCAATCTGCATCACATTTCAATTTCCCTCGCCTCGCCCAGTACCATGAAGGCTGCGCTCATCCTCGCCCTCTCGTCGGCCGTTGTCGCCGACACGCTTGAAGCCGAAGCCAAGGTCGTCGACGTCTGGGGCCAGTGCGGCGGCAAGTACCACAACGGCGACACGGCGTGTGCCAGCGGCTCGTTTTGCAAGTTCTACAACGAGTGGTTCTCGCAGTGCCAGCCCGGCGGCAACGGCCAAGTCGGTCTCTGGGGCCGATGCGGCGGCAAGGACTACGATGGCGACACCCAATGCACGCCCGGCAACGAGTGCAAGGTCTGGAACGACTACTACTCGCAGTGCGTCCCTGGCACTGCGACGCCGACGACGGCGCCTCCGGAGGACGTCGCGGTCCCCCTCAACTGGCTGCAATCTGACGCGGTCTGCTACAACCCGATGGACGGCGACAGCGACACGGCGGCCAATGGCATCACGTCCTTCGACGCGTGCATCATTGAAGCCAACAAGCGCGGCAAGAAGTTCGCCAACTGGGATGACCAAAGCCGCCAGTGCACGGTGCTCCAGGACGCCGACTCGTACCGGCTCAGTCGATCGTGCAAGAGCGCGGCCAAGTACAACTCCGACAAGTGGAAGTGCTGGGGCAACCACGACTACTGGAACAACGACGTTGGCAAGTCGACGACACGCCTGGACCAGTGCCTCGACGCGTGCGAAAACTTCAGCGAGGGCGGCAAGAAGTGCAACGCCGTGTACTGGGTGCAGCACTGGGACAGCGACAAGGGCGTCTGCAACTACAAGTACATTCCCGACACGAGCAAGGCCCCGTTCGTCGACGATATTGGTGGGACGGCGTGCGCCCGCCGTTCGTAAAGAAGCAGCAGATTTTGAGGCCGTACCGACGATAACCCATGGACTAACTACACATACTTTCATACCCACGACGTCTTCGAGGGATCAGTTGGCCGCTTTTCAGCCCGATAAGTTGATGCGCGAAGTTCGCAAAACACGTTCGCACTGTGCGCACTTTACCCGGATGACGTGGCAGCACGAAAGACAACGCTTTGACACGGTGACGGCCCATTCCAACAGCAAGCAGCGTACACCGAGTGATGAATACAGTCAAGAATAGTGTCATTTATGTGAATCGATATCCATCCTCGTCATGACGAGCCTCTGCAACGACGTAGCCATCAACATCCACACCCCGTGTCATTTTTACGTGATCTTGCGTCGAAATTTTCTAGTTGCTATGTAGCTTCAAGGGAAAGGTCGTTTGTTATCCAGGGAAATAGCGCTACAGAGACAGGTCCGCGTCGGCATGTTGGGAAATTCAAGTCGCCGTCGTGGCTCGGCAATCGAAGAATTAGTGTGTCGGGTACCCTATCGTTCGATTTCGATCCGACGCGTAGTGTCGACTTGGTGACCAGTCATGCGCTTATCGCCGCGTCCTCCCGTGACGCTTCCAAGCGTCGGTCTCGATTCGAACATTCGGTCGCGGTCCATCACCCCAAGTCGTCACATTTCGATTTCCCTCCTCTCGCCCAGTACCATGAAGGCTGCGCTCATCCTCGCGCTTACGTCGGCCGTTGTCGCCGACACGCTTGAAGCCGACACCAAGGTCGTCGACGTCTGGGGCCAGTGCGGCGGCAAGGACTACAACGGCGACAAGGCGTGTGGCAGCGGCAACTACTGCAAGGTCATCAACGAATGGTACTCGCAGTGCCAGCCCGGCGGCAACGGCCAAGTCGGTGTCTGGGGCCAATGCGGCGGCAAGGACTACAAGGGCGCGACCCAGTGCACGTCCGGCAACGAGTGCAAGGCCTGGAACGAGTGGTACTCGCAGTGCATTCCTGGCAGCGCGACGACCGCGCCCGTCTCGGGGGCTCGGACGTCTCGCCGCCTCTCAACTGGGTCCAAGTCGACGGCGTCTGCTACACCAAAGTGGACGGCGACAACGACACGGCGACGAGCGGCATTTCGTCGTACGAGGCGTGCATTGCTGAAGCCAGCAAACGCGGCAAGCTCTACGCCACCTGGAAGGACAACACGTGCACCGTGCTGCAGACCGTCTACACGTACACGCTCGACAAGGCGTGCAAGGGCGCGGCCAAGTACAACCTCGACAAGTGGCAGTGCTCGGGCAACCACGACTTTTGGGGCAACGACGTCGGCCAGGCGCAGACGCGCTTCGACCGGTGCCTCGACTCGTGTGAAAACTTTAAGGACGGCGACAAGAAGTGCAACGCCGCGACGTGGGTGCGCAACCCTGGCAGCGAGTACGGCGTCTGCTTCTTCAAGTCGTTTGACGACCGGAACAAGCGCCCGTCGATCAACGACCTCGGCGCAATTGCTTGCAACCGCCTTGCCTCGTCGCAGTGAACGCAGCGAATTTTGAGGCTGCTTTGACGAAAACTTATAACGTCTACCTACATACATGTCCTTTTGCCCACAATGGCTGGTTGTCATTCTCTTACGTTCAATTTTGATCGGCGCGTGCAGTGGACGCAGTATCCGGATGACGTGGCAGCACCAGGCACTCCACTCCAATAAGGGCGAGAACAACATGATCGACCAAAGATTCCGCCCAGAAATGCATCGCAAGTCGCCGCGACAGGATAACCGAGGTGTACTTAAGAGTGCACGATCTCTAGACCGCACTGGGAGGACAACAAAAAAACGCAAGTCGTTTATGTCTTAGTGCTGCATGTACTTGGGGTTGCGCTTGCACGAGATGCCACCGAGCCAGCTCGTCGACGGCTTGCGGTTGAAGTCGTCGAAGGACTTGAAGTAGCAGATGCCAAACTCGCTGCCGGGGTTGCGCACCCACATGAACGCGTTGCACTTGTGGCCGCCCGACTCGTAGTAGTCGCACTCGTCGAGGCACCGGTCGAAGCGCGTTTGCGCCTGGCCAATGTCGCTGCCATAAAAGTCTGTGTTGCCGGCGCACGTGTACTT